AGGAAGGATCAATCACTGGACGAGGACATGACGTTCGGTGCAGCAGAGGGCCAGCGAGGGCGAGGGAGACGCTCAGGGAGATGGACTGGCAGAGCAGCCACAGTGACGGACTCGAACATGCAGGCCCTCGTGAGGATAACTCGGGAGCGGCGGCGTCTCGTTCTGTTGGACGGAGGGTCTCCGTGAGTTGGAATCATCTAACAAGTTGAGGCAGGCAGAGGAAGGTGAAAAAGACAGCCCCACAGGCCAACAGAATGAAAGCAGAGAGATTGCCAGTCCCGTGGTGAGCAATCACTGCACGTGTCTCCAACCACCAAATTTTTCCCAGAATGCACAGTGTTCCCCACTCAGGCAAGGGCTCCTGGATACTATTCCCCAGGGATTCCTGCAGTCTGTGGAGGAGAAAGTGCCACATCAGTTCCTTCCACTGGGGTTCCTGCAGAGCCCAAGGCCTCACTTACGCCCACCAGCCTGGAGGCCCCAGCATCCACTCCCCTCAAGAGAGTGAGAGAAATTGGCGTTGAGATCCATATTCACAAAGTCTCCCTCTTCACTTCTGAGGCTTTGTGGCTGAACTACTACTATTAGAGGATTTATCATTTCTAACCATAAATCTACTTCCAGTTTTAAAACGGTGCCTGATTTTATTACAAATATTTTCATAAATTCATGATGGTAAAGAAGCCTCTGATGATGAAAAGCTACCAGATTTGTGCCATTTGTGGTGTTCCTCATACAGTCTTACTTGCTAGTGGTGAGATTAACACTGCTGCGTCAATTCTACACATTCTAGTGTGGAAGAATGAAGTTCTCCCAAATAATCAGTGGGTCACTTTCCACTCATAATAATAGTCTGTTCAAAATGTAGCTTGTTATTTTCTCTCTTACAAGTCAGGATTACCATTTACTTGGCAAATGTAGCATTTTCAAATACACATCTTTCAAACCAAACTGATTTTCATTTCCTTTTTGATCACGCTACATTTTGGTCAGCACTCGTAGGTCAGATCTCATGTACTAAAAGAATCTCAATAATAGCAATCAGCTCTACAGTAAGGCTCTGCCTTATGTACTTTACATTCTTGAAGAAACTGCCATTTCCAGGTCATGGCAACCTAGGTGGAAAAAGACACTCACATCTCAGCCTCTGCAGTTCCTTGAAAAGACTGGCTGTGCTTCTTATGTTCTTCTAGAACCTGCCTTCTCGGCTACTGTGGCATTTTCTACCATTCTCTTCTCCTGGACTGATATCTCCTATCACTTAAACTGTGCTACCACTGCCAACAAGAACCGTTATTGCTAATACATCTGCCCTCTTGTTGGACCATTGCTGCTACCGGTGTCCACTAACATGGACAATGAATGCTCGGGTGCATTGCTGACGGTGCTATGAGGAATAAATAGACTGGAGAAGCACACTCCCATCACTGCTCAAACAGCCGGGGTCATCTCCGTTGCTTGGAGAAGATCTTGGCCCCAACACAATTGATGCCTGTGAGGTTTTGTGCTGCTTCTCTTACACCTAGACCTGTGGCATGAAGCTGTGATCTCTGGGGCTAGGGCACAATCGGAGTGACAAATACCACATTACACTTAGAATCACTTCTGTCACATATTGGCCTCTGTCCTTGACACATTTTCTTGATCTCTATACTCCAAGTACAAGTTCTTTCCTAAGAAGCTTCTCATCTCTCATGTGAAACAGATCCATGGTGGCCCTTTCCCCCAGCACTCTTCTGGACAAGCGTAAATTCCACCTGTGAATATACCTTAGGCACATACCAGTACATTTGGACCCCATTCACTCTCACTGCAGTTGCTGTCAATGAAATACAAACACTTACTTTGTCATGTGACAACTTTTTCCTCCAACATCCCCTTAAAAAAAAAAAAAACAACTCACTGCCATCAAGTCAATTTTTTGACTCATAGCAAGCTCCATTGGGTTTCCGAGGTGGTAAATCTTTATGGAAGTAGATCGCCCCATCTTCCTTCCATGGAGTGGCTGGTGGGTTTGAACTGCCAACCTTCTGGTTAGCAAGCAAATGCCTTAGGCACTGCACCATCAGAGATTCTTAGTTTTTTAACATCCTCTTAATTTTTTAAATAGGAGCTCTGGTAGCGTAGCGCCTAAGACACTTGACTGCTAACCAGAAGGCTGGTGGTTCAAACTCACCAGCCGCTCCTCGGAAGGAAGGTTGGGCAATCTACTTCCGTAGTGATACTGCCTCGGAAACCCAAGGTGGGGTCGCTACGAGTCGGGTCCAACTCCACGGCACATAACAACAACAACAACAGTTTTTAAAATACCCTTTTCATTCGGGAGTAATTTTACATTTGTGGAAAAGTTACAAAGATAATATAGAATTCCTGTATAATCCTCACCCAGTTTTCCCTAATGTTAACATTTTACACTACCATGACATAGTTTTCACAACTAAGAAACCAACATTGGTGCGACTACTATTGACTAAAATGCAGACTTCATTCAGATTTCTCTGGTTTTCTGTTCTAGGATACTGCATTGCATTTTGTCATCCTATCTCTTTAGTTTCCTCTGGTCTGTGACAGTTCCTTGGTTTCTCCAGTTCCCCTTAATTTATAAAATGGTTGAGATATTTTTATGTCAGCTATACAGGAAGGGTCTGAGGCCTGCTCTGGCTAGGTACTAAAGGTTATTGAAAATAGTTCTTCCTAGTAATTATAAGAAGGCAAATTTGTCAATAGAGAGAAGAGCAAGAAAGCTCTAGAATGATCCTTTAAAATATGATAATCACAGATTATATTTTGAGGTTGCATTTTCCACAGCTAGCAGCATCCCCAACACCATTCTTATCTCCTTCACAAAGAAACCTAATGTGGTTTAGGGCAGCAATGTGCCTGGCTAAAAAATGAGAGTCCTCAGGCTACCCTGGCCCAATCAGAAGTCTATGGGATGGGCCTCCTGAGAGAGCTATTATTTTCCTTAGCAACACCCCCCCACACACAGACAGCAAGAAAAGGGGGAGAGCAGCTGATAGGGACCTTCTGTACTCTATGTACCCCCCCCCCTTTTGCTGTTATAATGTAAATTCAAGGCCTGGAGAAGGAGTAATCAATTTGCCAGCATGAGAACAAGGACCACATGTCAAGAGCAGGACACTCACTGTCCTTGGATGCAGAAGGAGCCACCATACCAGCCCAGCACCGCCTGCCTCAAGACTTCTTGTTACACAATAATAATTTTTTAAAAAACGAACTGAGCCCCTTACTTGTTGAAAAATCAAAGAAGATGAGAAAAAAAAAATGCCAGGAAATTGGAAATAGAAAATAATGCATATTTCAGAAAGGACATCCAAATCTCCAAGCTTTGCTGATTCCAAGTAGAACTCTAAATATGATTCTTACTAAGCATTTGTTCAAGGGAAGGACTTTGTTTATCGCCTTCAGGTAAAATATCATTGACCCTCTACTCATCAAGCCCAAATGAATGACCAAACAGAGATCCATCACGGCTTAGAAAAATTCCTCTGCCACAGAACAAAGAACCTTCTTAGAGCACTCTGTAACGTGAGAACAAGCCAGGCCCCACAGTGAGGCAAAGTTTGGTGTGGGTCAGGGCTAGTGATGGCAATACATACAGAGGGCTAGGTCCTCAGTCCAGTTCCAACATCATTGATACAGCGTGTAATGGACTGAATTGTGTCCCCTTTGCCAAAAACAGGTGTCAAAGAAGTCATATCAGTGTATGGTGCATGTTAAACCTAATCCATTGTGAGTTGTGAAAAGATCAGAATAGACATAGAGACACATACAGAGGAAAGACAGACGGCATGTGAGGATCATCTACATAGAGCCAAGAAATGCCAAGTCACAAAAGAACACCCCAGGCTATCAAAAGAAGGAACCAACACTGGCCAAGACCTGGATTTGAACTTCTAGCCTCCAGAATTCTGAGAAAATAAATTTCTGTTATTTAAAGCCACTCAGGCATAGTAGTTGTATTACGGCAGCCCTAGGACACTCAGACACAGCACCTACCACGTGCCAACACTGGTTAGGCTTGTCATATAGATTGTCTCATTGAACACTCTAAACACTCCTATGAGATACATACTACCCCATGAGGTGTATACTATCATTATCCCCATTTTTCAGATAAGGAAACTGAAGGACAGGGAGATCAAATAACTTGCCTGGAAAGACTGGCAAAGGAGGGGGTCTCCAATCCCTAATTCAGAACACATTACAATCTCTCCTTTGATCCATTTCAGTGGAGACTGCTACAGATCTCATCTTTATGAAAACTTCCCTTTCTTATGTTACTGGCCACTGGCACTCTGAGCTTACAAGGAGTCAACATCCCCATCACATGCCATGTGACATATGTAACAAATGGCAAACAGCATAGCTCTAGTCGTTGGTATTTGAAAAACACTGAGACTAATCTCTGCTTTAGTACTTTGACTAGGTGGATTTCAGCATTACTCTTTCATTGTAGGTGACCTTACTCCTTGTCTTCCTAGTGTTTATCTGTTAGTCTGGTTTCTTGGCTTTGTATTCCACATAGGTTATGTGCTTATGTGCTTTATAAGTTAGAAATGAATGTGGCTACAAGTTACAGGAAAGACACTTTAGAAAGGCCTAAGTTTATTTTTCCTCAAACCAGAAGCCTAGTGGTAGGAAGCTGCTGGCATCAATTCACTGCCACTACTGTGATTCTCTTGGCCAGTCCCTCAAGACTTCCCTAGCTTTAGGTATTATATCCACAATCAAGGCAGAGATTATAGAGGAAGAGAATACATCAACCAAGTTCATCCCTTTTCTCAAGAAAGCAAATGCTTTCCCAGAAGCCTCTTTGGAAACTTATGTTTACATCTCATCTACACAAATTATGTCATGGGGCCACTCTCACTGCAAAGGTGGCTGGGAACATGCATACTTAGGTTTTTGAGCATCTAGAGAAAAGATGGGTCAGGGAGAATGAGGTTGGGAATGGAGGTTGAGTTAGCCAACCTAGTGTCTGCCACAGATCATGTGCTTATTTGTCTTCAATGGAAAAGAGAAAATAATGTGGTTATCTCACAATGAAATAGTTCCTGAACATGTAAGCACCATCTTGAAGATGAATATTTTCTACTCATGTAGGGTTATTGGTGATCTGTGGGCTATAAATATGGATCTAATTGACATTTATAGTACA